GATCCCTGCGGTCCTGAATGCATGCCTGATGGCGGCACCTGGAGGAGGCTGTGGGCATGCGTGGGTGGATACACCTGTGCTGAGAGACTGGGCTTATGAGGGCGGCTCACGGGGATGCCAGCAGAGAGTGGAACCAAGAGAGGAGCAGAGAACAAAAGACAGAACGAGAGCGAAAGAGAAGCAGAGACCACCAGAGAAGGCCTGCCAGCCTCCCGGCCCCCCAGCACCCCTGCCTGCTGTGTACCCAGTAAAATCCCAATAAAAGCCTGAAAAGCCACTGAGGGCTCCAGGACTCCTCCTTTAGCCCATCCTCTTGGATCATAGAGATCCTACTCCGTCCCCTCCTGCCACTCCAGAGCTCACCCACATGGCGCAGCAGACCTCACCTGTCTCCCCCCTGCTCCCCTCAGCAGTGTGTTTCAGTAGACCCACCTGTTCTGCTCCCCACTCTGTCTCTGGGGAACCCTCTCACCCCGCACCTCTGGCCTGCACCCCAGTTCTTGTAGGCATAAATAAATCTTTAAAAAAAATAGCCAGCATGTCACTCGTGCGCATCCCAGGGCCCCACCACCCTTCCAGCAATAAATAAATGCCATTCCTGCCGTCACACAAACGAGAATGTCCTTTCAGAGTTAGGCAAGCAGGTCCCGAAAATTGGCCCCACATTTCTGAAAACAGGTCCCAGGGAACTAGCCGAACTGATCATGGCCGCTAGGTGGGGGCTGCGCCAGCCAAGAAGTTTGCTGCCCCAGCCCTGAGCCTTAACCAAGAAGCCTGGTGGGAAAAGCTCCACATGCACAGCTGCTCTCTGCAGCACCCCGTAGGAGAACCGACCAGAAGAGCAAACACGTGACACAGATGGTCAAGAGTCAATCCCAGGATGCCTTGTTTTGGAGACACTCATGCTCTCCAGGCCACGTTGCAACCCGTCTTGCTGCTTACACTCTGCTTTCTACTTGCCTGCAGCGTCACCTCCCCACCTTGTCCTGCCTCGCTTCTGCTCCTTACCTGCCAACGGCAGACGTGTTCCTCCTCCAGGAAGCCCTCCCTGACTCCTCAGATAACCTCCCTGGGCTCATCCATCCCAGTCTTGGTTACTCTATTAAAGTAGGGGGGAGGGAGGGAGGACCCCTTCAAACCATTATCATGGCACTGAGTACCTGACCCACCTCTGCCAGGCATTGCTCCGCACACTGCCTGGAGCCCCCCCACTCTTGTCCCCCAGCCACATCTGGCCTCCCGGTTCTTCTGCCAGGTACTGGCCTGCACTAGTCAGGTAACCTGCATAACAAATGAGCTGGAAGCCGAAGAACAACAACACGGATTATCTCCAGTGCAGCTGAAGTCATTTCGGCTTCATCTGCCAGCTCATCTGGCAAACGACCCACAGCTAAGCTCACCAGGTGGTGCCTGGCGGGATTCATTTCCTGTCTGACTGCAGGCAGGGGAGCCACCCTCAGTCCCTGCCAGGTGGGCATCTCTGGGGGTTAACTGGCTTCATCAAAGCCAGAAAGCAAGAAGAACCAGAAAAAGATTCAAACAATGGCAGCCACTGTCCTGTATAACCTGGCGTCAGCAGGGACAGTCCCTTCTTTGCTGTCTTCCATGTTGGAGAATGCACCCCTCATCCAGCCTGTCCTCAGGCCAGGGGTTGTGCCAGGGTGGAGACCAGGAGGCAGAAATGATTGGGGGTCACTACATGACCAACCCCAGCCTCCTTTGTAGTCTCTGCTCTGTCTGGAAGGTTCTTCTCCCAGATCTCTGTGTGGCTTCCTCCCTTACGTCCCTCGCCTCCTCCAAGGTCCTTTCCTCTGTGAGGCCTTCCCTCACCACCTTATTTAAATTGCAGCACTCTCTGGGCAGGCTGAATAGCGACCCCCAGAGATCTCCAGGCCATGCCACTGCCAGCTGTGCCACTGCCCTTCTGTGGCAACAGGGATTTGGCAGGTGTGGTGAAGTTAAAATCTTGAGCTAGGCAGGTGCAGAAGGAAACCCAACAGGGGCACAGAAACCCAGGCAAATAAGACCAGGAAGCATCATGCAGGCGGAAGGCCTTAAATATGGAGGGAGGGGGCTTGAGCCAGGAGCACAAGGAATGTGGTTGCAGAGCTGGGAGAGGCAAAGAAACAGACGTTCCCCTAGAGCCTCCAGAGGGAACACAGCCCAGGCCTACGACTGACACAATGACTTCGTCCAGGGACATTGACTTTGGCCTTCAGGCCTCCCGAACTGTAAGAAGATACAGCGACACAGTGTTTAAAGACGTTTCAATGACAGAACACAAATAGGATGGCGGTGGCAACAGGCCCTGTAGATGTGGCTCGGCCACCTGTTTGTCGTTACACTTCACAATTCACACAACGGTGAAGTTGCTGAACGATGCATTTCTCAGCAGGTATCTGTGCCATTAAACCAGGTGTGACTGACTGTAAATGTGTCCTTTTAAGCCACTGAGTCTGTGCCAGGTGTTACAATAGCCGTGGAGAATCATTAACTTACCAGCCTGGCCCCAGGATCCACGCCCCTGCTTTCATTCTCCCCATCTTCGCAGTCACCATCTGCTAGAACAGATTTTTTCCTCTTTTTTTTTTTTTTTTTTTAAGATTTGTTTACACAAGGACTGGGGTACAGGCCAGACGTATGGGGCGGGTGAGAACATTCACCAGAGACAGAGTGGGGAGCAGAACAGGCAGATTTACTGAAATACGGTGCTGAGGGGAGAGGCGGTAAGGTAGAAGAGGTCTGCTGTACCATGTGGGTAGCTCCCTGGCCAGGGATCGAACTCGTGCTGCAGTGGCTGCCGCGAGCTTCATAGCTTGTGTCTTTTTTTTTTAATACAAGAACTGGGGTACAGGCCAGATGTGTGGGAGGGTGAGAGGATTCACCAGAGACAGAGCGGGAAACGGAACAGCCAGATGGACCCAAGACACTGCTAAGGGGAGCAGCGAGCGAGGCAGGAGAGGTCTGCCAAGCCATGTGGGTTTCTCCCCGGCCAGCCAGGAATCAAACCAGCGCTGTAGAGGCTACGGACAGCTTCACAGCGCTGCGCTCAACCGGCTGAGGCACTGGGGAAGCCCATTGTGTCTTAACCCCTTGTGCCACCAGGGAGGCCTCTTCTTAGCCAACTTGCATCCCAACTCAGGAAGCAGAGGCTTGAATCCCAAATGATACTTACATTTTCAGCACAGTCAAATTATAATAAAGTGTGGGGGAGGTGAATGGAGATATTTAGTTGTGCAAGAACTCAAAAATATTTACCTCCTCTTCACCCTTTAAAGGGGACAACAGGAGAGGATAGTCTGCAAGATGAAGAATCCAAGAAAGAAAACAAAGACATAAGAGGCAGGAAATAATATCCAGCTTGAGGAAGCCCCAAGCATCAGCCTGGAGAGCAGCAAATACAGATTCAAATAGAAGAAAAAACACTGGGGCGGTGGAGGGGACTCCCTGTTGGCCTAGGAGTTAAATCTCAGAACTATCACCTCTACGGTGTGAGTTCGATCCCCGGCCAGGGAGCTTCCCACATGGCGCAGCAGACCTCTCCTGTCTCCCCGCTGCTCCCCTCAGCAGTGTATTTCAGTTGGTCCACCCGTTCTGCTCCCCACTCTGTCGCTGGTGATTCCTCACCCCTGCACCTCTGGCCTACACCCCAGTTCTTCCACATACACACAAAACACAAAACACTGGGGCGTAATGTCAGGTGAATGGAACATCAATGGAACATTTGAAAAATATAAAATGCAAGTGCATGTCAAGTGACAAAGGTAATTATTCATTCTCAAAAATGTTAGTCTGTGTATATGAGAAAATGTTGGTACGTTACATTGCAAAAATATTCACATAATCACACTGTGAAAATGATTGCTGACTGCAAAAACTATGATATGACTTCACTGGGGATAGGGGACTAGGCTCAGCACCCATCGTACCAGGAAATCATAGAGCGTGCCTACACCGGACTGGTCGAGGAGTAGCAACATCAACATGTTATTTAGAAACATGGTATTCCCTCAGCTAAAAATCAATTTACAAAGAAAACACGGAAGAAAATACCAGAAGAGGTGATCTCTGAAAGCAAAGGGCAGTGGGGAGAGAAGGCACAAAGATGGCTTTATTTTTTCCTGTGATAAAGATGTTAGTACCGTTATGGTTTTTAAAGTATATTCGTGAAATCACACAAAAATAAAAAATTACAGACAAAATATAATCAAGTATATTCATGAAAAGTGATCAAAAGTGGTAGAGGTCAGAGCTGTAGTTACCCTTTATTGGGGCAGGAGGGCACTTGTGTGTGGATGGGAAGAGGCACAGTGGAGCTCCTGGAAGATGGAAATGGGTATCAGTCCATCCCATAGAACTTTCTGGAATGACGGACATGGTCTCTATTTGCACCATCCAATATGATAGCCACTTGTCGCTACTGAGTCCTTGAGAAGGAGCTAGTGCGACCGAGGAACTAATTCTTGATTTTTATTGAATTAAAATGTAAAAGTCAATAGTCACGAGATGTGAGATGTTGGCGGCTACTGTATCCGACACCCCAGTCGAGAGGACGCTGCTGCCTGATGATGTGTCAAACGATACCAGAAAGAGAGGCACAACTGTACTTTGTCCAAAATCTTCCAGGAGCAGTTTACGACAAAGAAGTGGGCAGAAGCAAAGGGAAATCACGCTTCAGGGTCATGTGAGGCCGGGGGCCCTCCCTGCCACCCACCTGTGGGAGCCACACTCGAGACAACCAGCAAGCCCTGCGCCCCCACCTCAGATGACAGGATTATCGGACGTACATTTTAAGATGCTTAAAGACATAAATGAAGACTCCAAATCATGACCAAAAAGATCAGGATGCTTAAAAACCACCACCCCCACCATCAAGGAGGCCTCTTTGAAAGAGGACATTGGGACGTGCACAGGGAGGTGCCCTGATGAGTGCTTTGCCAAAGAGTAACCACGCGACGCCTTACTAAGCAGGAACGCAATCCAAGCAGAAGGACGTCAAATCCTGTGCAAACTACCTTTATTTATAAAGAAAAATCACTTCGTTATAAAACCAGCCCCGTGTGAAGGCACTTGATTGGAGAGGGGGTCAGGGACCCTAGAGAGACCAAGGCTCTCCCCTGGCCCCCAGGCTGCTGGAGAGATGGGGGCAGAGGGGACTTCCAGGGAAATCCAGGGGAGGTGACCCATCTGAGGCCCAGCTGGGATGCTGCTGGTGACTTGCTTTGTGGGGGTGGGGTCCGGAGAGGGTTCCCAGTAGGTGCGAGGCACTTTGGACAGGATCTGATTTGGCAAATGGGGGTGTCTCCTGACACCGAGCCCCACTAACACCTCCCCACAGCTAAGGCAGATTTCTAAACTTAAGGCTGGGGTCCTCTTTCTACCCTGGCTTCCAGGGGACCAGAGAACTGGTGGCTAGGACCGCGCCCCTGCAGGGCTTGGGGTGCAGGGGATGCAGCTGTAGCTGGAACATCTGGAGCAAAGGCAGGGCTGCTTCCTCCTGTCTCCCTTGGAGACGGGCCTCTCTCCAGCTACACCTTATTCCTCTGAGGCTTCACCCTGGGGAAGAGCTGAGGGAAGGCAGGAGCTTCAGATACTGGGGGCTCGCATCCTTTCATTCCACCCCCCAATCTCATGGGGCCACATAATCCCTCCCCAGACACATGGACTGTGTCCGCTCTCCCATCCCTGCCTAATGGACTCTCTCAGCCTCTCCCCAAAAAACCGGAACCCCCCCAAATCCTCATCGCCTCCGAGCACCAGACGGGACTGGGTGGATGAAATGGAATATTCCGGGGCCATCATAAAGGCCACGCCTCCCCTCCCTACCACCTCGACTGTCCCCAAACTAAAAGAATCCTCTCCTGGGAATAGCGGTGAGTCCTCCTGGTCTCCTCCACTAACCCCAGGGGAACCTCCCTCAATTCTACCATCATTTTATTAAAGAATCCGTCCTCCCGCTGCCCACCGGTACAGCTGGCTGGGCATCGGGCCTGCTCCCTGATTCCGAAACCCCCCATCACTGAAATGGGATCCTTCCTGGCCCCTCTAGCCTGAACCCGCCCCTCCCTACTGCCTGCCACCAACGTAACCTGGGGGCATGAGCCAATCACATGGCCAGTTATGCAGCAGTGGTGAGCACCCCACAAAGCACCACCAGCAAGGGACTCTCCCTTCCCTGCTCCCCCTCTTACCACAGCGGGTGTTTCCTCACCTTCCCGCCATCAACGCGGGGCTCCTTCCTTCCAACTCCCCTCCCCCAATACAACGGCCTCTTCCTCCCTCCCGCCTCAGTTGGTTCGTTGGTTCCTTCCCCCCCCCCCCCCCCCCCGGGGCTCAGGAGGCCGCGTGCACCCTGTGGCTCACCCCGAAGTAGTTGCGGGGCACGTAGCCCTCCTGGCCGTGCAGCGCGGCCCACCACCAGTCGGTCTCCTCCGGCCCGTCCCGCCGCAGCACGGTCACCGACTCGCCCTCGCGGAAGGACAGCTCGTCCCCGAACTCGGCGCTGTAGTCCCACAGCGCGTACACCGCGCCGCCGTGCATCAGCCCCATGCTCTGCTCCACGTCTGCAAGGACCGCGCGCCGTGACCCCGGGCCCGGGGCAGGGAGCCCGGGATTTGGCGCGACCCCGCCTGGAGCGCCCCGGGGGGCCGTGGCCGGGGAGGGGCGTCTCCAACACTGGAGCCCCCGGGGGCCCGTGGAGCTGACGCGAGTCCGTCACCGCCCCGTTCACACGGTGACAGCTCAGCGTCACCCCAGACGTGCTTCCGGCTGCCCCCGCGGCTGAGAGGGCCGTTTCCGGAGGACTCAGCCCCTCTTCTCGACGGCACAGCCGGCGCCCCGCGCCCCCGCGCCCCAGGGCGCATCCCGTCCCCAGGAGAGGCTGTTTCCGCAGAGGGGGGCGGCGTCTCCAGAGCGCGGGGCTCCCCAGCCTCCCCGCCGCCACGCTACCGTTTCCGTCGAGGATTTAGCCCCTTGTCCAAAGGGTATAGCACACCCGGCTCCCCCCACCCTCTTTCTCGGCTCCGTCCACCGTGTTCTAGACGCTTCTCTGCCCGCGAGCTGCGCTGTCCCCTCTGAACTCACCCTCACACACGCGCGCGCGCGGAGGCCGCAGACGCAGCTCCAGCGAGGAGGCGACCCGGCTCTGCCCCCGCCCCGAGGCTGACGGCCTCCCCCAGGGCACCCGAGTCCCGCTCACCTGGGGGGCAGGTCCGGGAGCGCTCGCCTAGCACCTGGGTGGCACCGCGGGCTGGCTCGCCCCCCTAGCGCCCCTCCCAAGCACACTGCCCCCCCCCATCTCCCGACCTCCCAGGCCCCAAGGCCCGCCTCGCTCCTGCTCTGCGCACTTAGCTCCTCAGCGGCGTGGACTCTGCACAGCGCCGCCCCCGGGCCAGCACCAGCTCCTCTCCCTCCAGGAGCAGGCCTGCCCCCCCCCACCCCAGCAGCCCCTTCTGCCCACCTGGCCACCTGCCCGGCCCCACGCCAGGTAGATGGGCCGGTTGGGACGTCCCACTCCCCACACCCGCAGGTGAGAAAGCACCTGAGCCACGCAGCTGAGGCCACTCTTCCCCCCACGGTGTCCAGCTGGCAGGCACAGTGCCCAGACGGGGGCGCGGGATGCTCCCCCGCACCCTGCTGGCACCTGCCAGGTGGGAGACCCAGGTGCTGGCGCGCTGGCGGTGCATCCGCCCCGCACCCCTTCTCTGCGATCCTGCCCCGCGGCTGCTACAGCCCTCGCCTCCTGCCCGCGGAGGGTGGCAGCCTGCGGCCGCCCCGCTCCCAACTGGGGCCTCCAGTCCCCGCGACCCCCGGGGCGCCCCAGCCCCGCCCGCACCTGCCAGGTAGGTGGCGCAGTCGTTGTACCCCTCGCGGTAGGGGTCGCACTTCTCGATGGCGGTGGCGCCGTCGCTGATGGTGGTGGCGAAGATGGCCGCGCCGTGCTGCACCAGGGCGGTGCAGATGGCCGTGTCGTTGCACGACGCCGCGCAGTGCAGAGGGGTCCTGCGGGCGGGGGCGAGGTGAGCGGCCGCCCCCCGGGGCGCCCGGCCCGCAGCGCGATGCCCGCCCGCCCGGCCGCGCCGTGGCTCACCAGCCGTGGCTGTCGGGGGAGTTGACGTTGGCGCCGGCCGCGATGAGGAAGTCCACGATGGGGTAGTTGGCGCCGCAGATGGCGTTGTGCAGGGCGGTGATGCCCTCCTCGTTGGGCTGGCTCGGGTCGTTCATCTGGGGGGCGGGGGGGAGGGACGGGGTCAGACCCGATCCTCGGCCCCCCCCCCCCCCCCCCCCCCGTCCCGGCCGGCCGGCTGGGGCGCCCTCACCTCCTTCACCGCCTGCTGCACCACGTCCAGCTCCCCGGTCAGCGCCGCGTCCAGCAGCAGCACCAGCGGGTTGAGGCGCGCGCGGCGGGCTTTGCGCGGGGAGCCCGCCTTCCGCAGCACCGAGCGCATCTCCTGGGGGGCAGGACGGGTGGGGGCGTCAGTGGTTTGGGGGACTGCTCATCTACCCACTACTTAGAGGGGGAAGCGGAGGTCCAGGGGACAGGCGGTGGCCACCTAGGGCGTCCCCCGGGACTGGAACCCCGGCGCCCTGGCGGGCAGCGGTTCAGTTCCACAGTCCTTGCTCCTCTAACGGGCAGAGCATCTGGGGATGCTGCGATCTTGGGCCCTGACACCTGACAGGAAGCTGGGAGACCGCGGAGCTGATGATTGTGGAAGCCAGATGGTCAATTCATCATGTTTCTTTAGGGGAAAAAAAAAAAAAAAAAGCCATGCCCCCACCCCCCCAAACGTCATCAAATGTTAGTTCCAGATGTTTGAAAGCAAAATATTGATCATATTCTTCCCTGGCCTTTCTTATTTTTGATTTTGTTTTCCTCCAAGATTCATTTTATTTTGAGCATGGCGCGTTGGTGATGCTGGGCTTTGCTGTCAGTGATTTCAAGATTCTGGAATTCTGAGGTCCCAGGAGCCACTGATTTCCCAAACTCTCTGATACTCGGTTATTTCAAGGTTCCAATACAGAGTGAGTCCAGAAATGCTAAGTTGTGCCATTTCAAATTGCTGAGGACCCAGGATGGGGCAGTCCCAAGATTCTATGATTTTGGACTTTGCTATTTTACAGGTAGGGCTTCATTCCATGCGGTTGGAAGGGATGGCCCCGGGTGTTCACTGGGGTTCTCTCTGGGGGCTGTGGTTTTATTCTACTTTATTCTACTCATCTCCATTTCCTCCGAGCTGCCTGTGGGGTTCTGTATTCCTTTCTAACTGAAAATATTAATATTTAATATAATTTAACCTAAATGTATTATCATGATAAATTACAATTTAAAACATAATTCAGTATTACAACCTGAGTGCCCTAAGCTGTGATTTACTGGTTTCATTTTCAGTGGGGGTGACTTCAAGATTCAGGAGTAGCTGGGGTCTGTGAGACGAGCCTTTTAACTCACGATCCTGTTCTTCAGACCCTCCATGCTCCGGGAGTCTGGGGAGTCCTTCCGCAAGTTCCTCCACAGCCAGGACTCTGAGGTTCCACATCGAGGCAACTACCACCTCAAACACAGTCATTCTTCCGCTCCTGATTTCAAGATCTTGAGCCTCAACATTTCTTGGCTCCATCTTCAGGAGGGCCTGGGAGTGGGCATTTTGGGGCGCCCTCCTGGCTCCCACTTTTTCTGCCTACTCTCATGGAATGATCAGGACTGTTCCATGTAAACACACACAGCGTCTACCAAGACGCAGGGATTGAACCAAGAACAGCAGGACGCCACTCCTGGTCAAATGATAACAGCAGTGGCTAAGAGCTGAGCACCAGGCACGTTCCTCATTACTAAGATGTTAACCCTCACAGTAACCTATATGTGCATACTATTATTCTCACCCCCGTCTCACAGGTGAGAAAACTGAGGCCCAGACAGGCTAAGAGCCCTAGGTTACACAGCTAAGAGTGGTGGAGTCGGGATTCGAACCCAGCAGCCTTGCTCTATAGCTGATGCACCCCACAGTAACACCCCAGCCTCAGAAACCAGGGATTTGCTCCTCAAAGTGGGAAGGAAAGAAGCTCTGAGTAGCGTCTGAGGACACCCTGGGCTTACACTGGGAGGACATTTGACTGGGTCACCTGAAGCCATGGCAGAGTCAGAGGCTCGCTGAGGTGGAAGAGGAGCGAGCAGACCCCCAGAGAGGCGCTCCCGTGAGCAGCAATGGTGCGGCTCCGGGGACAGAAATGGTGACTGCCTTGATTCAGGCTTTTCAGGTGCCCGAATAGATACGCTGTGGGGTGGAGACCCAGTCATTTCCAGGTTGAGACGAGTTCCTGAAGGGCTGCCCAGGAGCAGGATGTAGAAGTGCAGAGAAAGGCTCTGCGTGGCCAAGGTTCCTCTCGACTCGTCACCCCTGTCTCTGGAAGCAGGCACACCTACACTAAAGACTCCACTTCCCAGCCTGCTTTGCAGCTGGGTTCCAGGTGAGCCAGAAGCAGCAGAAGAGACAGGTATAATTTCCAGGCTGTGACCTCAAAAGGAAAGGACACATCCATATCCTAACGCATTCACCCCAGGTTCCTCCTGTGCTACTCACCATGCTCTGTGGCTGCTCTGGCGGGCTGCTCTGGGGTGGGGCCGGGGGTGGTATGGGAGCTGGCGGGGCAGGAGCAGGGGGCCCTGCCCTGGCCTCGGACCCCTCAGTGATGGCGGACAGCTCAGGCTCAGGCCCCCCGGGCCCTCCATGACGATGGAAGAGGCGGCTGATGATCTGCTGGTACTGCTTCTTGTGGGTGGGGGGCAGGGCTACGGCCGGGCTCTGCTCCATGGAGCCCCTGCGTTTGAGGGGCCGTGGGATCTCTGCCAGCACCCGTGCCACTTCCTCCAGCTCGGGCACCGACTGGGCCTCGGGAGGCAGCGCTGGCTGCAGCCGGGTGGGGCTGAGAGGCCGAGTCACAGCACCTTCATCGGCATCCCCAGCCTCCAGCACCGGCGTCAGCAGACTCTCCAGCTCTGGCTCTGGCTCTAGTTCAGTGATGGGCTTGGGGGCGCCTAGAAAGAACAAGAGCCTCGTCAGTTGAGGGTACCTTGGGAGCTCCCCCAAATTCCCTCCCTATCACTTCTAGGACCTGCAACCAGCACCTGATTTGCTGTGTGATCTCAAGGTAGTTCTTTGCCCTCTCTGAGCTACAGTCTCTGGCCCATGAATAATATACACTTATGCCATCTTCCATTTATCAAACACATAGCATGTACCTGGCACGTTATCTGCCCGTCTTATAGAGCTCTCATCACTACCTTGTGAAGTAGACATGGCTATCGTCTCCTTATTACAGAAAGGGAAACTGAGTCTCGGAGGGGGCGAGTCAGTTGCCCAAGGCCACCAAGTTGGTATTTGAACTCAGCTCTAACACCAAAATCTGTGCTCCTGCCATCAGGTTAGACTTGACATCTGAGATTCTAAAGATTTCTTCCAGCTCCTTCTGGAACTAGAATCCTGATGCTCAAGCAGCCCTCTCTCTCTTTAGTCCTAGCAGAGGGCCATTAACACAGGTAGAATCAGTAATGATTGGGCCTCCCCAGTGGCACAGCAGGTTGAGCGCCGCGCTGTGAAGCTGTCCGCAGCCCCTGCAGCGCAGGTTCGATTCCCAGACGGCCAGGGAGATTCCCACATGACATGGCAGATCTCTCCTACCTCGTCTGCTGCTGCCCTCAGCAGTGCCTTCGGTCTGTCCGCCTGTTCTGCTCCCCACTCTGTCTTTGGTGAATCCTCTCACCCCCCACCTCTAGCCTGTACCCCAACTCTTGTGTGCATAATAAATAATCTTTAAGAAAATTAACAAAAAACAAAGGTGAGAGGGGAAGCCTAGCTCTTGAGGGCTTACTCTGATTCAAACCCTAATTTAAGGACTTCGTGTGGCTGAAATAATGCAAACCATACCCCATCGAGAGGTTTCATCATTATTTACCTCACACAAGACAGGAAGGTGTGTTCTAGGGAGAGGAAGCGACGAGCCTGGGACCAGCAGCGTGGAGTTGGCCAGTCCGACTCCAGGCCACCACCACCCCCACCCCACAAGCTCCCCCTGGTGCCTGAGCAAACTCCCAAGCTCCTGTGGCCTGGCTCCCTGAGGTGGCAGTGTCTGGAAACAAGAACCTCCCCAGCAGGTCCCCAACCACGTGTCCTCCCTCCACCCACCTCAGAACCCCCATTGTGGACTCACCTTCGCTCACAGCGGGCCATGTCATTTGGGGGGTCTGGGGGATTAGGGCCGGGGGTGGAGGCTGGGCTGGAGGCTGGGGTTGTGGTTGCTGCTGGGGCTGGGGCTGTGGGGGTGGCTGGGGCTGGGGCTGTAGCTGGGGCTGGGGGGGCAACTGGGGCTGGGGAGTTGCTTGGGGCTGGGGTGGCAGCTTGGGCGGGGGAGCTCGGGGGAAGCCAGGGGCTCCAGGGAACATAGCCCTGCTGCCGCCATGCTCCCAGAAGGCATTCTGTAGCTTGAAAATCATGCTGAGGGGGATGGGGCGCTGGCGGGGGGCACCTCGGGGCTGGGGGCTGGAAGGAGGCATGGGGATGCGGCTGACAGGCTGCCAGCTGCGGGGCAAAGTGCCTGATGGCCCCGGAGCGCCCAGAGATCGGCGGTAGCTGCCCACATCTGAACGCCTGTCATTGGCCAGAGGGGAGACCTTGTAATTTCGGGGCAGAGTGGCGCTGGTGAGGTTGTCCTGGGGAGAAAAAGAGGGGCAGGGGGAGGAAGAAGGGGCTCAGGTGGGAGGAAGAGGGCGTCAGGGAAGGAAAGGTGAGAAGCGAGAGGGAGGTGAGAGGAGCCAGAACAAGTGGGGCGGGGGCGGGAATCCCCGGTGAAGAACTTGGGGAGGGTGAGGGAACTGGGGGTACAGCCAGGAGAGGGAGACCGGTCCTCGCGGCTCCACGCCCTCACCCTCCAGCCTCTCCCCAGCAGTCTCATCCAGCTTCTCCCCCGCACCTGCCCCTCACCTTGCCGCTGGCCCCCATCGCGTCCAGGCTGCTCTCTCTCCAGGGTAACAGCTGCAAGCCCGGGGAGACGGGCCGCGTGAAGGTATCCAGGCCTGAGAGGCGGAACCATTAGGGTCTGAGGGTGCCTTTCTTCCCGCTCCCCCACAGCCCTGGACCCCACGGCTCACGTTCATAGCTCGCCGCCTGCGACGACTTCTTCTCGTAAGCCACGTCCAGATCAGACTCGTTCCAGGCTTTGGGGGGCCGCCGGCGCAGCGTGAGGTCGTCTGGAGGGAGGCGGCCGGTGAGCGCGAGGAGGCTGGGCGCGGCCGAGCCCCCCTCCCTCCGCCGGCCCTGCGGGGAGCCTCACCTTGAGCGCGCAGCGGCGCGAAGGCGCTGCCGCCCGCGCCCATCAGGGGCCCCCGAAGGCCGCGGGCGCGTCGTAGGCCGCGGGCGGGCGCGGGGAGGGCCCGCGCTCGGGGAAGAAGGCCTGGGGGCCCTCGGCCAGGGGGCTGCCGCGGGGGAGCCCGCGCGCGCCAGGAAGTCGAAGGGCGTGGGGGGGCCCTGCTGGCGGAGCGGGCCGGCTCCGGGCCGCGGGGAGGGCGCGCGGCCCAGGGCGCTGCCCGCGCCGTCGTAGGCGCGGGGCCGGGGCGAGGGCGCGCGGTCCAGGCTGCCGTAGGCGTCCGGCTGCAGGTAGAGCGGGGTGCGCGGTGAGGACGGCCGGCCCTTGGGAGACAGCGGGCTGTAGGGGTGCAGAGCCGGGGCGCTCTCGGAGCGGCCAAATGTAGCGTCTGCGCCGTCGGCGGCCGCTTTCCTGGGGGACCCGCGGCTTGGGAAGAGTTCGGGGACCGGGCTGGAGCTGTAGCGGGTGAACTGTGGGGAGCCGGGACGGGACGTGAAGGGGTCAAAGGAGACATTAGTAGAGGGTCGGTGAAGGGGTTAAATGGGGTCATGGAAAATGAAGCCAGGGGCGCTGGGTCGGGGCTGGAGGTTCGGATACGGGGAGCCCAGACGAGGGGGTGCAGGGAGAGCGGCAGCAGACAGTGCTGAGGCTAGCCCACTCGGCCCGGCGCCCCTTAGAGAAAGGCCACTGTCCTTCTGAGGGCCCTGGCTCACCCGAGTGGTGACCGTGTGCTGCGACCCCGGAGGCGCCGGCGAGTCTGACCACAGCGACTCCAGCTGCTTGGTCAGTTCGTCCACCTTGGCCGCCGCCGTGTCCAGCTCCATCTGCTTGAGGTCCATGTGCTTCATGGCCAGAGCTGGGCGTGCGGGAACGGCAGTAAGGACTGGGGGGCCGGCTAGCAGGCCCCGCTTCAGCCCCCGACGCCCCACCCCGGCAAGGCCCGCCCCCTACCCCAGCTCACACTGGAAGTTCAGGTCCAGCAGGTCACGTGCACTCTGGAAAGCCTCGCTGTCCATGGTGCCGGCCGGAGCGGGGTGCCTGTTGGGGGGTTGGAGAGGTGAGAGGGCGTTCTGGGACCCCATCCCCAGCCCGGTAAGGGGCAGCAGGATGGAGACTCTCCTCTTCTCGTTCCCTCCACTGGAAGACGCCCCCCCCCCAACAAGCCTTTCCACTTACTCTAATGCCTGCTCCTTCAAAGCCCTCCTGAAAGCTCAAACCCTTCGTGGGACGTTTTGTCTAGGTCTATCTCAGCCCTAGTAAGATTTGAATCTTTCCTTCCAAAATTACCCACTGATCACCTACTGTGAGCCAGGCCTGGGTGTGACTACAACATGCATTAGTGAGAATGATCAGTTCCTGCGTGGCTAGCTAGGGACACTGCTAGATGCTTCGGATATTTTTTAAAATAACAATTGTGTTGCAGGACCTGGGCAATCGCCAGTTGCTTGAGGGCATCATGAAATAAAACAACCAGCATTTATTGAGGGGCCACTGGCCCCTAGACTTGTACCAAGAGCTTTGCACCCAGTACCTCATTCCGGGGTCAAAACCCCCATTCCAGGCAAGAAAGTGGGGCTCAGAAACACATGTTCAACACACCCTGCAAGAAGCTGGCATGCTAGGCTGTCTCTGGGACTGGAGTGTTCCCAGAGGGCAGGGCAACTCAGTTTCCTCTTCCCAGAGTCCCCACCAGAGGAGATGTGGCTCACAAGGCCCCAGTATTAAGAGGAAGAACAGGGAGGTGGCCAGTTGTAGCTGGGAGGCTGTGGTCACTGGCCCAGTGGGAGGGAGCCAGGCCACCGGGAACCGGTCAGGCCAGCACCATCCCCATCCCCATGGCAGCCGCCACGCCCAGCAGTTCAGTTTTGCCTCGACTGCTTAGCTTTGACTTGGTGGTACAGGCGTGGGCAGCAGGGCGGGCTGGGACATGCTGATCCCGACCTCTGTCTGGAAAGACTCAGAACAGAACCTGTTGGAGCTGGTGGCTCCTTTGGGTGTGTTGGGAGTGTGTGACCTTGGGCAACGAGTACCCGCCACTCCTTGGCCTGCAGTTTCCCCAACAGTGAAAGGAGGAGGCAAATCAGCCCTTCGAGAGGTCGCTTCAATCTCTCTCTGAAAGAGTAAGAACCTTAAGATTGGAGTTGAGGTTCTAGAAAGTCTAAAGTCCTCAGCTGGGGAGTCGACGCTCAAGATTTCACCCTTGGAACATTCTAGAATCCTCCAATCTGGCCAGTCTAGATTTCCCAGTCATCCTGGAACGGAACACAGATGTTGTTCTATTTGTCCCAGGAGTCCACTGTCCTGAAAGTCTAGGTGAATGTGTAGTAGAGGGCAGGAAAGAACACGAGCAAAAGGCCAGACTTCAGGGTTTGAGCCACAGATTCAGGCACCACCGTCTGACCTTCACAAGAGAGCCTCAGTGTCCCAATCTGTAAAATAAGGGTAAAGAACAGCCTCTCTCAGAGGACTGTTGTAAAGATGCAACGGGCCAGAAGTGCAAGAGGAATGAAGAAATGAACACTCTGAGAATTGAGGTCTCAGAAAGGAAGGAGCTAGGGACCCAAACTTGAGACTTTTGGAAGCTCAGAGATACACCGGAAACATTCCGCCTGTTAAAATATAAAAATGAACAATACTCTACAGCCTCCAGGGCCAGCATCCTAGCAGCGATCGCTTCTTTGGGGGATTTCACGATTCCCAATATTCTGAGACTCTGACATCCTCTGACTCTCAGGAAATGCCAAGCCTGGGCGTGGGGCCATCCCGGGGCTGGTGCGGGCTGAGGGGGGTCTCGGGGCCGCCAGGGGGCGCTGCGGGTCAGGGTCCGACCCCGGCCCGGCGGGCGGACAGCGCCTGAGCTCAGGCCCGGGGAATGCGCGGCGGGCCCGGACAGGTGCTGAACCTCGCGGCAGGGGAGTGGGGGCCGGGCGGGGCGCGAGGAGGCCGGGCGGGGCGCGAGGGCGGCGCGGACCGCGCCTCTGCTCCCAGACTCTGGCCCTCCGCCCCCAGGTCCTCTCCCTTCCAACCCCAGCTCCCGCCCCCACGGTCTCCCTTCCACTCCCGCGGTGTCTCTCCCACCCCCAGGCTGCCCTCCAACCCCTGCTCCCCCTTTTCCCTCCAGCCCTAGCTCTCCTTGCCGGCCCTCCCCTGCGCCCTAGCCAGTTCTTCTGCCGAGAGGATCCCACAGGGCTCCCTGGAGGGATCGGTCCTCAATAGAAACCAGGTCAGAGGGCCAGAAGGGGCTGTGAGACCCAGTTTAGAGTCCTCCAGCCCCGCAAACCCCCTCCCACTGACCGCGGGAGAACCCCATCCTCTGAGCCTCAACCTTGGGCTACTTATTCCCCTTCTCTGTGCCTCCGTTTCTTCCTGTGCAAGGGAAGAATGACTACCTTCACCGGGAAGCGGCGTGAGGTTTGAATGACAATTCATACACAGTGCCAGAGAATAGTACGGGCACGAAATAAAGCTCACACGTCCGGGATCCCTAATTACCAGTCTCCCTCGGTTGTTCATTAAGATAGCACAAGAGCTGAGGGCTCAAAACCCAAAGTAATTCCCCCCTAAGGGCCCTTTCAACTCCGAGCAGGTAAAAGCCCTTCGTTTTGTCCCCCAGCGATCCTGAGTTCTGCTGAGCCCCAGTAACTCGGGGACAGGGGCATGGGAACCCTGGATTTCACAGGAGGTGGCAAAAAGTCCAGGGTGTGTGCTGTGCCTGCTCACCAGCCTCAGTTTCCCCACTGGAGGAAGGAGACGTCATTCCCTGGGGTCAGCAAACTTCATGGGAGGAGACCTTTGGGTAGTTGCCTGAGACTTGTGTGGCCAAGGCGAACCCTCCCGTCTACCTGCCAGCCCTGAGCCTGGCATGCTCTGAGCTCTTGGCAGACAGTTACTATTTTGACTTTCGTCTCAGGCTATCACCAAATGCCCTTCAAGCACAAACATTAGGAAATTCTTCTCTCTTGTCAGAACCCCCTGTCTTCCCCACCCCCTCCTTTAATCCCCTCTCGCGATGCAGGGGGGCGGAGAGCAGGGGGAGACAGAGGGAGGGGCCAGACCCTGCCCTCCCCCAGCTTCAAGGACAGACACACACCTCCAGAATTAGCCTCTATTCCTGCCTTATCTCCCACACTACCTCAGGTCAGACAGATGGGGGTGGAGGTGACATTTCTCACCTCAGGGTCAGGGCGAGGAGCCCTAGGAAGGAGGTTAGTCAGAAAATCTGGCAGCAGCGGACGGAATCTGGTCCCCCAGAATACTGCAGAGGAAGGGGGAGGCCAAGTCCCGATCCCTAGCTCTGCTGTCTGTGTGACCTCTAAGCCTCAGTTTACCCCTCTCCTCTCTGTGTAAGGACTGTGTAGTAGCCACGCCACACAAACCTCCTAGAATCCAGCCCTGTCTCCCGAAATTCGGCCCTGGGTTCTAGAACTCCTACAAACCCCGGGTATTTCCCACCTCCAATGGGGCAATAGGGGTGCCCCGCCCCCGCCAGGGGGCGCCCTGGGACAGAGTTCCCTCTCCTGGTTAGGCAGGTCTGACGCCCGGGTTAATGACATGTTGGGCATCGCACAGCGGCACAGAGAAGGTTGGAGAATTGCCCGGGTTCCCCCTCCTTCGCCCCCACCCCAAAGGCGAAAAGTGGGGGAAAGGCTGGGTCTCAGCCTCTGGAAGGACCCCGGGTGCTTGTCCCACTCCATTTCAGGAACCCAGGTTCCCCTACCCGCCTCGCCACCCCTAACTCTGACCTAGGCTGGTGGAGAAGGCAGCAGGCGGCAGCAGGATGGCCTCCCACTCCAGAGCCTCAGAAGTTCAGAGCCCCTGCCTGACCCAGGGATCCAACACCTTAATTCTCAAGGACTCGGGCTTCTGGGAGCTCCCAAATCCAGAGATTCAGGAGTCCCAGCTCCAAATCCTCCCCGGGACCAAGGCGTCCGAAGCCTCCATTCCACGAACTCAAGAGCCCCTTTCCTTCTGCCCATAAGCCAAGTACCCAAGTCCTCTCCTTCCAAGAACCCTGGCTTCTGCGCACCCCCATCTCCGCCTTGGGACCCGATGTCCGGGTCCCCTCCCAGCCCTCCCAGGGACGCGGGTGTCGGGTTCCTCCAAAGCCGCTGGCCCCGAGGGGGGTGGAACTCACGGATCCGGGGCAGATCCTGGCACCGGGGGGCTTACTCCGGCTCCGGCTCCGGCTTCGGGGAGCCGAGGACGGGGCGGGGCAGGCGCCGAGAACAGGTTAGACGACGTGACTCGGGCTGGAGGGAGGCGGGTCCCGCGCGGGAGGGGGAGCTGGGGTCGCCTCGAGCACATTGGGACTTGTAGTCCGGGAGGAGCAGGGCGCAGGCTGAGCCCTTCCCATCCGGATTCCCTCAGCCTGCGTCCCAGGGAGAAGGGCCGAGTCCGGAAACTGACCGCGACACAGTCACAGAGACCAGAGTCCGGGCGCCCGCCGCCCTGACCCACGCCTCCAGGTCAACAGTCCCCATGGAAGGATGTTTTGGAGTAGAAGATCGGAGTCTGGGGGGGAGACGCTCGTGTTCCCCCACAGAGGGCTTTGCTACATCCAGAGTCTGGCGGGTCTCCAAGCCCCAACCACGCCGTCTGGGAAAAGGGCGGTTTGGCTCTTTACAGGACTTCCCCAGCAACAGCGCGCAACATCGGAGGCTGGAACTACAACCCCCAGCAGCTTCCGCGACAGACACCAGGCACCTCCCCGCCTCGGGTCTTCTGGGAATTGTAGTCCGAGCGCCCACAGGGGCTGCGCCCGGCTGTCTCGCCCCCGCGCGGAACTGTCTGGAGATCCCCGGCGGAGAGAACGTTCGCCCCCTTCCCCGACCCTCTCCCCGCTCTGGGATGGGGGGGCGCCCCAAATCTGGAGCGGGATCCGAAGTCTCCAGAGAGGGGGAGGGAAGGGACGCTGACACACCGACTAGGAATGCAGTCGGGTCACCCTGTCTAGCCGCGGTCCCGCGGCTCCGCCCGCCGCCCCACTCGGTGCGGTCCTTGTGGGGAGCCGCCTGGGCGCGTCCCCCAAAACTGCGGCCACGTGCCGCTGTTTACGCGCTCCCCGCGGCAGGTGAGGGGCGCCGGTCACGTCCTCGGTCTTACTCAAAGCCATCAGGGAGGTCCCCGACGCCGAAGACTGAAGCCTCGGGGACGTCAACACGCCTGAATGGATGCGCAGCCCCGCCCCCTGCCCGCCACGCCCCGCCCCCTGCCCGCCACGCCCCGCGTCGCCCTCTGGATGCCCCGCCCCTGATCTCTAGGCTCCTCCCCCCGCGTTTCCCGCGGTGTCCGGAGGCGCCTCCTCTGGCTGGCTCGTCACGCCCTCGGGGAGAATTACCCCAGTCCTCCTTTTAACCACTTTGCCCACTCAAATTCTGATTTTCCGAGGTATCTGGGCCTCCCTAGGTAGAATTCTAACCCCGACAGTACAGGGCTGCCGGCAAGACACTTACCTGTCTCTTTAAGAACTTCGGGCCCCTCGATCCTCCTGTCCCTTTAAGAGTTAGGGCCGCTCGGTGGGGCTGCCCCTTTAAGGCGACGTCGGAGCAAAGGATGTCCGAGAGGTGCGGGGGGCGCTCGCGGGACCCGGCGCGGTTCTAGTTCCCGCCAAGCCGCCAATCAGTTGCTTTCGGGAGCAGATTTTCTGGAAAAGACTTCCTCCTCGGTCGTCTGCTCGGCGCGAGTGGAAATGTTTCCCAGCTCTACTCAGAGAGCGCGCGGATCCGAGCGACACCCCCCGCGGCCCCGCGTCACATGGGCGCTCCCGGGCGAAGCCCCGCCCCCTCGGTCCACGTGGTCGGCGGCGGAGCTGGAGCGGCTCTGGCCGCCGGGTCTGCGCAGGCATGGGCCCCGGGATGGCGGGGACCCCGTCGGCCGGTGAGTTGCTTCGGGACGGGCCGACGGGGCCAGGGGGGTGGCTGGCGAGAGAAGGGGCGTCCAAGAATGTTTGGACGGAAAAGGAGCCCCCCAGACACAGGAACGGCGGAGAGAGTGTCCCCCAGGGGGATGGTGCGGAAGCGCGGGAGAGGGTGCTCCGGGAGCCTGCGGGGCAGAGGAGCGCGCCCCCAGGGAGGCTGAGCCAGTGGACGCAGGGACGCCTGGGGGGACAAGCGGGCAGAGAGGGGAAACCAGGTGAAAGCTCGGGCCGAAAGGCGCCCTGGGGGGCTAGGTTGGCAGGAGAACGTCAACGGACCCGCTCTCTTCCCGCAGGTGCTGCTCGCTTCTCTTGCCCCCCCAACTTTACAGAGATGCCTCCAGCCTCAGAGTCCACTCGTTTCTCCTTGGAAGTGTTGACGGGCCCGGATACGGAGCTCTGGCTTATCCAGGCCCCCGTAGACTTCGCCCCAGACTGGTGAGTGGCCCCAGGCCCCCTTCCGAGAATACTGCCCATCCCAGTGGCTGAACCGAGGGAAATGGGGGGGGGGGGCATTCCTAGGTATCCAGAAATGCTGCTTCTCAACTCCAGTCCCTTCATGCCTAAAGAATCTGATCAAGTTTCTGCCCTCCCCCTTTCTCCCTTCAGCCTCAATGGCCGACTGGTGCCTCTTTCTGGCTCCCAGATCGTGAAGGGCAAGTTGGAAGGCAAGCGGCACCGCTATCGGGTCCTCAGCAGCAGTGGCCCCCGGGATGGAGAAGCAACGCTGCTGGCCCCCTCAGCAGAGGCAGAAGGGGGACTCACCTGTGCCCCAGCCGCCCAGGGCAACCTAAGGATCTTTGAGGGTCCCCAAGACTCCCGATCTGGGACTGCCCTGCAGCCCATCCCAGCCAGCCCTGCACCACAGATTCCCCCTGGCCTGAGGCCCCGATTCTGTGCCTTTGGAGGTAGCCCACCAGTCACAGGGCCTGGATCAGCCTTGGCCCTGAAGTCGCTGTCCTCGAGGAAGAAGAAAAAGAAGAGGCACACGCCAGAGGCCTCAGTTCCTCAGGAGACAGTGAATGGACATGGGGACCCAGAGGTAGATATGGCTTTGGGGTCCTTGGAGAGAAATGTGGGAAAGAAGAAGAAAAAGCAACAGCTGAATGAACTGGAAGTGGTGGAGCCAGTGGCAACAGAGCCTGCATCTGAGATGCTGGAGCCGGTGGGGGTCCTGTGCCCATCCACCACCAAGAAGAGGAAAAAGAAACCCAAAGAGGCAGAAATGGGGATGCTGGAGCGAGAAGAAAAGGCAGAGCTGGAACTTGTGGTTAAAACAGAGCCTCTGGAAGAGACACTCCTCTCCCCACGCAAGAAGAAGAAGAAGCAGAAGAGGACAGAAGGGGCAAAGCCAGAGGAGGGGGCGGGCATTGAGGCTCAGCTGCAGGTGGAGGTGAAGCCAGAGGAGGAAACCCTTCCAGTGCCATCCTCCAAGAAGAAGAAGAAAGAAAAGGGGCACAACGTGATGATGGGGCCCAGGACTGAGACTCCGGAGCCGGAGATTCAGCCTCTGGAGCTCCATGGGGAGATGATGGCGCCTGACCTGCCGCTTGGGGTTGAGCCTCAGGCTGGGGCAACACCAGCATCGGCGAAGAAGAGGAAGAAGAAAGAAAAATGGCAAGACGCAACGACACAGTCCGGGGCAGAGGAGGTAGCATCACAAGCAGTGGGGGCGCCAGATGGCCTGGAGCCTCACATGGCGCTAGCATCCCCCAAAAAGAAGAAGAAAGACAGAGGACACAAAGTGACAGAGCCAGGGACTGAGATGACTAACTCCCCAGGGGAGATGGTGGCGCTTGAGCTGCCAGGTAAGGGTGAAGCTAAAGCCAGCGTACATCCGGCATCCACCAAGAGGAAGAAGCAGCGGGGCCAGGAAAGCGGGGTGTCAGAGGCAGTACCCCAGGGGGACACACCAGAGCCACTGCTGGATCTGGAGCCTGGGGAAATGGTTCCCACAGGACGGGAGAAAAAGCGGAAAAAGAAGCTGCAGCCGAATCCTATGTTGCTGCCTCTGGAGACCCCATGATGCAACTAAGAAAAGCTGCAGGTGCGCGCACACACCCAGCCATCAGAAGGCGAGCACCCCCTCGGGTGACTGTGCCAGCACAGCAGCCAGAGCCTGGGCCTGGAAAGCGCTTTATTCCATGAGGGTGTCCTGGCAGCGGGGTCATCTGGGAGCTTTCAGGAAGGGCTCGTGTAGGACATCGAACAGCCGCCGGGCCTGGGGGAGGGGAGAAACCTGACATTAAATGACCACTTGTGTGCCAGGTCTGGAGTGCACGTTTCCTTCTCCGGGTTTGGAGGGGCACCAGGAACTGAGAAGTAGCCTAATCTGGACCCCGCCCCACACTGGCTTGAGGTCGAGCTGGTCCCCGCCCTCTCTGGGCCTCAGTTTTCCCCATTGGTAAGGAAGACATGCAGACTTTCTAGAGCTGTAGAGCTTTGGGACCTGTGGTTCCATTGATGGACTCATGCCTCAAGTCCATTCCCAGAGCTCTTACCTTCTGGGGCCCCAGGCCAGGACACAAGGCCAGATCTTCCCTCGATGCCGCGATGAGCTGTTCCAGAGACTGAGAAAGGGAGGGAGGGTCAGCACAGGTGAGCAGGAAACAGCCCACCCAGCTGATCGGGGTCTGCGCCATCAGAGGTGAGGCCAGGTGGGGGGCCAGGAGAAGCAGGAAGGGTGGGAGGAGGCATGGAGGTGGGAGGAAATGGGTGGAGGGCTTCCTAGAAAAGGCAAGGGGGCAGAAATGCTTGATCAGGAATAGGGAGGGGGGGTGTTCCTTACCCCAAAAGTGGTCAGGAGGGTCTGACTGTCCGTCTTGTTGACCGACTTCACCGTGGTGAGACACTCACTCACCTGGAGTGGGGAGGAGGCAGAGGTGTTCGATGAGGACCTTTGTTTTTTTGACTAGAAGGTCACCTCAGAGTGACCCCCAACTAGCCAGGTGGTGTGGGTCACGTGGTGAGAAGACAAATACCTTCCATCTTGAGCAGGTTCTGCCCAGAGGAAGACTAGGCCCTGGCTCAGATACACTGCTTGCTCCCGGTGCATCTCTGGTCAGTGGCCTCACTACCCGGGACCTCTGCTTCAGGCACTTGGAGAATATGTTCTAAGACCCTCCCTCAGCAGATCACCCCATGGATACTCTTCCTGTGTGTCAACTGTGATGAAGGTTTATAAATTCATAAAGTAGGCACAGCCTGCGAATGTGCTCATTCGCTCAAACCATCTTTTTTCTTGCAGCATTTTTGGACCTTGGGTAACTGGAGGCACAGAAGGTGAGCCCGTTAGGGGGGACTACTGTATCCACCTCAGGGTGGCTGTGGGCACTGCCAGCACAGTGGGTGACCGTAAATCTCTGAATGACACCAAGTGGCCTGGGGATTGGCCGGCTCCGTTCAGATCCCAGTGCTGCTAGATCCCAGTTGAAGGGCGGTGGGCAAGCCCTTCCTTCCCCATCTCATGGGAGTTATCAGAATTGGGGGAGCAGGGGATAATGTGAACTAGGTTGTTGAGCTGATGTACCCAGCAGGGAGTTAGTTTCACACTTGGGAGCTGCTGACACAAGGCCTTGACTGTCCAGCAGGCCCAGCTATGTGACCTGACCTTAGAAGCCCCAGGAAATGCATCAAAGGCAGGGGCCATTGCTCTCCTGGGACCCCAGAGTACACCATTCAGTCAGCAGCTGCTCCCTGAGCACCCACTGAGTGATGGGTGGGGCTGGGGACCAGCAGAGACAGAGGCTGCCCCAGCCCTGCCTCCGGGGGCACCCAGTCCAGCGGGAGAGACAAGTCTCCTGGAGTGGGGGAGCCCAGTAGGGGCACTTGACCCAGCCTGGGGGTCAAAAAGAACTCCCAGGTTGAGAGCATCAGAGCTGAGATGTGAAAGATGGGGTTCCAGGAGAGGGAGCAGAACACACAGCAGGAGGGGGCTGGGCCTGCAAGGAGCAACAGTGCAAGGGCAGGGTGGGATGCAATTGGGCAGCATGTGGTGAGAGGACAGGGCTCCCCCTGAGGACGCTAAGAGCCCTGGGAAGACTTGGAGCTGGAGAGCAGGAGCAGCTTTGCTTAGGAAGACCCCCTGCTGCCCTGTGGGTGGAAGAGGGGAGACAGGAAGCTGAGGGTGGGCTGGGGTATGACCTGAGATCAGAACTGACTCAAGCCCCCCCAGGAAGGAAGTGGGGAGCAGCACGGACAGCGAGACGAGGTGGCTCACCCGGGAGACGAAGTCCTGTTCCAGCTTCTCCATCAGGAGGTCTGCTGGCTTCTGCTCATAGGCCTTGTAGGTCTCCAGGTAGTGCCCGGCCTCCTCGGGGCTGGGGTGAGAGGGCATTCGGTCAGCGGGGTGAGGGGGTCACGTTTTCCATTCACTTCATTACGGCAGCAATAATTGCTGACACTCGGGCCTCCCTGGTGGCGCAGGAGGTAAAGACAGCGCTATCAAACTATCGACGGCAGCCACTGCAGCATGAGTTCCAGCCCTGCTGGCCAGAGAGCAACCCACATGGCACAGCAGACCTCTCCTACCTCGCCCGCTGCTCCCCGCAGCAGTGAATTTCAGTAGATCTGCCTGTTCTATTTCTCACTCTGTCTCTGGGGAAACCTCTCAACCCCCAAATCTCTGGCCTATACCCCAGTTCTACACAAAAAAATATAGCTCAACTTCAAAAGAAAAGCAAAGGGCACTGATTATTGAATCTAACAGACATGACAGGATTTACTAATGGCCGGTAATTTTCACATCGGGCACTATTTTTTTGGACATGTCATTAGCTGTCTCAAAGGCAGCTGAAACAACTAACTTATTAAAAGGGCCTGTGCGGGGTGCAGGGCAAAGGAACTCAAGTTCATTGGCATTGGAAACTGTGGACCTTTTTTCTCTTCGGAATTTGAGAATAATGAGTGAAGTCAAAATAAATAAAGTATTTGTATTGAGGCATTTTTTGAGCCTTTGAGATCCAGCTAGTAAGTCATGCTGGCTGATGAAATGACAATTTCTAGTCTTGAAAGATAGACTCATCTTCCTAAGTTTACTTTTTTCCATGAGACAGACCTCGGTACTGTTGCCCGCTGCAGCTGACATGCAAGGATGGAGCTGTTGTGTTCTGGACACCCCAAGTTAGCACCCCACGGCCAGCTCCATGATCTGCTTTGATTTTTGCCCTCTACGCTATAACCAGGATATCTTTCCACATCAGCTGACACTCCCCGACCTCCTTTACTTAATGATTGCAAACTGTGCCACAGTTTGTAGGAAGACACAGAATTCCCCGGGTACGGGCCTGGCTCTGCGTTAGCCATTGTCCTAAATCCATGTGCAGAAGACTCCAAACTGCCCAAGAGATCCCATAAGGCAGCTATTATACAGAAGACCAGAGGGGTTGAGGCACGTGCTCAAGATCACAAAGCCAGAGGGTTGGAAGGGTAAGGAAACAGCAGCCTATGTGGATCTGACCCCCAGGGCTCTATCCACTGTGCTGCTTCCCATAAAATACAAGTGATTTACACCTGCTTTTGCTTCACCATACAAGTAATGAATAAATATGTTTCCAAGTTGTCAAAGAGTATAGAGATACACACCCTTAAGGAGGACAGAGATTACAAATACATTTTTCCTTGGGCCTAAAACTCCATTCCTGGGGTCCAGGGCAGAGGCAGACATGTTGCTGGTAAAAGAAAAAGACTAAAAACTCCCAAGTGATCACCCACTAGGGGGTCCTGACCTGGTCCATCCAGAGTGGATGGCGGATCCAGAAAATGGACTATTAAAACAATGAATGACCAAGTCACAAAAAGACATGGAGCCACCTTAAAGCACACCGCTAAGTGAAAGAAGCCAATCTGAAAAGGCCGCATACTGCATAGTGGTCTCCACGGGTAACCCCGCCTAGCCAAGGTGTGTGGTGGGTGGTACTATGTAGATTTGTGCAGTTATACTCTATGGCATTCACGTCTCCCTAAGTGACATGTGATTGTACACACACACACACACATGCTGTGTGTGGATAGCATCTTTAATTTGCTTTTGACTTGTGAACGCCTTATGAACACATCACCTGTTCTTCAGCAAAAGAAAATCTGACCATTATAGTCAGGCATCATTTAACAACGGAAAAATGTGTGGACCTCCCTGGTGGCGCAGGGGGTTAAGTCGCGCCACTATGAAGCTATTCGCAGCCACTGCAGCACAAGTTCGATCCCCACCCAGGGAGCTGACCCATCTGGCGCAGCAGACCTCTCCTGTCTCCCCGCTGCTCCCCTCAGCAGTATATTTCAGTAGATGCGCCTATCCTGCTCCCCACTCTGTCTCTGGTGAGTCCTTTCACCCACCATATCTCTGACCTGCACCCCAGCTCTTGTATACATAAGTAAATCAATCTTAAAAAAAGAAAAGAAAAATGCAGGTCAGGCAGCTTTATCGTGTGATCATCTTACTGCGGAAGTCTATTCCTACCCCAGGACAATAAAAATCTTTTCCCATTAGACTTCTTAACTCTTTCATTGCAGTTTTTCTTCTCATCTCTAGAATTCATCAGGATTTATGTGTGGTTTGTGGTGTGAGGAAGGGATGTCTTTTTTTTTCCCAGCTGGGAAGCCAATCTAAATGGTCTTTAGAAACCTAACCATGGGGAATGAATTAGTCAGCCAGATTGGATGTCTAACTCCTTAGTGCCTACCATGGTCCAGGGAATTCGAGCTACATTACCCTATAAGATATTACGACCCTACTTTACAGCTGAAGACACTGAGGCAGAGAGAGGCTGTGCCCCGAGCAGGCTCACATAGGGAGTCTGTGGGAGAAGGGAAGGGCTAGGATGGGAGACACCTCCCTCTCACCTCCAGGCAAGGATAAGGGTGCACTCGGCCAGGATGCACATCTTAGCCAGTTCCTTGAGGGCCTGCTGAGGATCTTTCTGGGTAGAGAAGAAAATCAGAATAAGAGATCGGGGCGAAAACAAGGAATTATAGCCTTAAAAATATATTAGTATAGAACTCCAAGAGCTCTTCACTTAAACAATACTCCCTAAAGCCCTGTGGGTGCCCAGCCTACACAGAATGGAGACCTAGATTGTCAGGTGCCTTCCCAGGGCTCAGTCTGATGAGAGAGACAGACCCACCCCCAGACAATGATGACCCGGAGTGGCAGGGTTGAAGTGAGGGAGCCAGAGGAGTGTCTACCCTTCTTGGAGTGGGGAGGGAGAGCTTCCTGGAGGAGGAGACATTGAGCTGGGACCTGAAGGAGGATGAGAAGTGAAGGTAGCAAAAGAGAGCAGAAAATTCCAGACAGAGGAAACAGCATGAACAAAGGATGGGAGGAAAAAGAGGGCTGGAGGAATTGCAATTCTCTGGAGGATGGGAAATGAAAGCATGGTCACATGGAAGCCAAGAGGTGAGTCTGGAAAGCTGGGTGGGGTCGGACCATGGTCGCACAGGGCCTCATGGACCGTGGAGGGCACCGGGGAGCTGTGGAGGGGTTTTGACATCAGATCTGGGCCTTAGAAGGCCCCTCTGGCTGCTGCAGGGATGGGAAAGGTAGAGGCCGGAGGCCAAGAGACAAGGGAAGAGGCTGGGGCAGAGACCCAGAAGAGGGAGGAGAGAGGATGAAACACGCAAGGCAATTCAAGAAACATGTAGGTGGCAGAAGGCGGGAATAGCTGAGGGGGTGGAGAAGGAAGTGTTGGGAAATTTTGCAAACGCAGGGTGTTAGCCTCCTGTGTGACAAATGGTTCCCCACTGTTGTTTCAACCTGCGTTTCTCCTGGGAAGGGAATCCCCAGCCCATTTGGCTCCCTCCAGGCCATTTCACAGACGGGGCCAAGGAGCACAGGGGCAGTGACCCCTCCCTGCTTACCACGTCCACCTGCACAAGCAGGACCCGCAGGCTGAAGTTCTTCCCCAGGCTCTGCAGCCGCTCATGGATGTAGTCTGGGTGGAGGTGGTGGTAGCGGAGGCTGTGGGAGGGGGGCAGGGGAGAGCCGGGATGGAGGGGGTCTCAGTCTCCCCAAGGCCCCACGAGCCCTTTATCACTCTCTGGAAGAGAGAGAGTGTGGACAGCACAGGTGCGCAGGCCAGCCAGGGTCTGAGGCTCGGAGAGGTTAAGTGACTTGCCCAAGGTCACCCGTCAAGGAGGGGGCGCAGCAGGCACCAGCGCAAGGGCTGCCTGGCTCCGGCTCCCTGGTGGGTGGACCTGGCTTCTTTGCTGAGGAAGAGAAGAGATTTGGGCTTCGGGAATGAGAACCCTAGAGAGCGTGGAGCAGGCAATGCTATGCAATTTGGTCTCGGGGAGCAAGGCCCTTCCCTTGCCTCTGCTGTGGCCTCACAGGGTGCTGGCTAGAGAGGCGTGAGGCGGCATCTCCACCTGGGAACACCTCTCTAGCAGCGGCCAGCTCTCATGCCCAGGAAGGACAGAACTTAGGTGTTTCCTAAGTTCCCTCTTCGACTGTCTAGAGAGGGCCCGGCCCCCAAGTGTGGAGGGGGCCCTCACTCAAGTGGTGGAGTGTGAAGTTTCCATGGTTCATGTCAACTCTAGTGCCGGATGCCTGGGATATGAGAGACCAAGCCCCTCCTCCCTCAGACCCAGGCCTAGCCCTTCTGCTCTGCGCTCCCCCAGCCAGGCCCACCCCCTCCCACACAGGGTCAGACCCAGCCCTGGAGCCAGCAGGACCAGGCCCCAGCAGGCCTCCTCCCATAGAAAGGCCCACAGCATGGTGAATGCCACACCTGGGTCTCTTGGGATGCCCTGGCTGGTGGGTGGGCGGCCCCTGAGCTCACCTGAGGAAGAGGGCACAGGTGCTCTGGCCCAACACGTAGTCAGGAAGCACGTCCCCAAACTCCCAGGGCACGCTGCGCACGAACTTCAGCACAGGGTTGCCCCTCTGGGGAGGGAAAAAGGGGAACAATGCTGACTGTGGAGCTACCGCCACCCCAGGGTCGCCTCCACCCCTTCTCACACCCTTTGCCCTCCTCCTGCCTTGCGCCTGGGTCTTCTCGAGCTTCACTCTGCGCCTGGGAAGGCTGGAATGTCCTCCCCATGGAGGACTGTGACCTAGGCCCTCCCCGCTCCAGGCCTGGATGGAAGACAGACCCTCCTGGTTCCTGGCACAGAGCGCCCGAGACGCTCGTCTCCTCCCATGTGGTGAGAGCACCGGCAGCACCCCGGGTTCTGACATCTGTCTGACCCCCCATCCTGACGCCGGGCTCCCTTGTAAGCCCCTGATAAGCACACTAGGAGCAACGTCTGTTCACTGACAACGCTGGGCAGGCTCCTGGGTGGGGGCTGGTCACCAGAAAGACCAATTCATGATTAGGAGCTTGGAATTTTCCAGCCCTGCCCACCATCCTCCAGGGAAGAATGGGGGATGGAGTTAGGACGTGACCATGCCTACGTGAGGCAGCCTCCACAAAATCCCAACAGTGGGGCCTCCCTGGTGGCGCAAGGAGTTAAGCATCAGCACTATGAAGCAATCCGCAGCCACTGCAGCATGAGTTCGAACCCCGTCCAGGGAGCTACCCACATGGCGCAGCAGACCTCTCCTGTCTCCCCGCTACTCCCCTCAGCAGTGGATTTCAGTCTGTCTGCCTGTTCTGCTCCCCACTCTGTCTCTGGTGAATCCTCTCACCCCCTGCACCTCTGGCCTGTACCCCAGCTCTTGTACGCATAAATAAATTAAAAATCCCAAAAGTAGGGGATTCAGAGAGCTTCCAGATGGTTGAACACATCCCCAGCAGGAGGGTGCTGCACCCCAACTCCGTGGAGACACAAGTCCCTGCATTTGGGAGTCTCCCAGACCTCACCCTATGAATCTCTTCATCTGGTTGATTGATATTCTGTGTCACGTCCCTTAACAAGCTGTGAAGTTAAGGAAGAATTTCTGGGTCCTGTGAACAGCTCTGGCAAATTAATGGGACCCAAGGAGGGGGTGGCAAGAACTTCCAGTCTGTAGCTGGTTGGCTGTATAGGCCTGGGAAGTGTGTATTTTGGGGGAGGAGTTTTGTGGGACCGAGGCCGGAGCCCGTGGCCTCTGACCTGATCCCAAGAAGACAGGGTCAGAATCAAGTACAACTGCAGGACACCGGCTGGTGTCACAGAGAATTGCCTGGTGTGGAGAAAACCCTCCACATGTCTGGTGACAGAAGTGGAAATGACACGGGACACACACACACAGTGGGAGGAGCTGGGTTTTCCCTACACAGACAAAGGAAAAAAACTGGGCTTTCTTCCCTTTACAAAGACACAGATGGGTTCACTCGCCTGAGAGCTCATGGCAACTCCGCTGCTCGGCAGAGGTCAACCCCAGGCCTGAGTTCAACAGCTTTGCAATGAACAAATGAACCTGGGGACAAGAAATAGCCCCCTGGGCCTCCCTGGTGGTGCAGGGGTTGGAGACACAGCGCTATCAAGCAATTGCCAGCCACTGCAACAAGAGTTCAGTCCCCAGGCAGGGAGCTACCCACATGGCACAGCAGACCTCTCCTGTCTCCCCACTGCTCCCCTCAGCAGTGTATTTCAGTGGATCCGCCTGTTCTGCTCCCTACTCTGTCTCTGGTGAATCCTCTCACCCCCCACACCTCTGGCCTGTACCCCAGTTCTTGTATGCATAGATAATCTTCAAAAAAAAAAAAAAAGAAATAGCCCCTTACTAGTGGTCTCATCCCCAGCCTGAAGAGTTGGGGTGTGATGGATTGAACGTGTCCTAAAAATTTGTGTGTTGAAATCCTAACCCAGATGTGATGGCCCTGGGAGGGGCAGGGAGGGGATTCATTGTGAGGGCAGGGCCCGTGTGGGTGGGATGAGTGTCTTTGTGCAAGAGGCCCCGAGGCGCCCCCCTTCCACCAGGTGGGCACACACGGAAGACAGGCCCCTGAGCCAGGAAGTGAGTTCTCACTAGATCTAAATTTGCAAATGTGCAGGTGCCTTGGTCTTCGATTTTCCAGCCTCAGGAACTGAGAGAAATAAACTTCTTCAGCAAGGATATGGGGAAAGAGGAGCCCGGAAATGCCCCTGGAAGGAATGTAAATCGATGCAGACATTCTGAAAAGTGGCCTGGACCTTCCTTAACATACTGAAAAGTAAGAACCACCATGCAACCAGGACTCCCACTCCTGGGCCTCCCTCCTAAGAATCTAAACCATTACCTGGAAGAATCGGAAGCTCTAGATGTTTGCTGCGGCATTACTTACGCCAACAGAGAAACGGAAGCAACCTATGTGCCCACTGAGAACTGGGTGGGTCAAGAAGATGTGGCCCATCCACACCATGGGATGAAATCCAGCTACAAGGAAAGATTAATGTTGCCATTTACAGTAAAACTTGAGGGGAATATAGGGCCTCCCCTGTGGCGCAGTGGGTTGAGCACAGTGCTGTGAAGCTGTCTGCAACCTCTGCAGCATGGGTTCGATTTCTGGTCGGCCAGGGAGATACCCACATGGCACGGCAGACCTCGTCTGCCTTGTCTGCTGCTCCCCTCAGCAGTGTCTTCGGTTCGTCTACCTGTTCTGCTCCCCACTCTGTTTCTGGTGAATCCTCTCACCCCCCACACACACCTCTGGCCTGTATCCCAGTTCTTGTATAAATAAAAATAAACCTTTAAAAAAAAATTGAGGGGAATATAGGAAGGGCAATTAGAAAGATGGGGCCCCCCCTGGTGGCGCAAGGGGTTAAGTCTCAGCACTGTGAAGCTGTCTGCAGCCTCTGCAGCAGAAGTTCGATCCCCAGCCAGCCAGGGAGCTGACCCACATGGCGCAGCAGACCTCTCCTGTCTCCCTGCTGCTCCCCTCAGCAGTGTATTTCAGTAGATCTGCTTGTTCTGTTCCCCCGCTCTGTCTCTGGTGAATCCTCTCACACACACACCCCCGCCCTGTACCTCTGGCCTATATCCCAGTTGTATGCATATATAAATCTTCAAAAAAAAAAAAAAAAAAGAAAAAGAAAGTCAGATAACAGATTATCTCACGTATATGTGCAATATGAGGAAGTAAAACATAAATGAAGCAAACGAAACACAAACAAATGTGTGGACATTGATAATGAAACTGAGGTTATCAGAGCCGAAGGGGTTAGGGAGTAGGAGTAAGGGTGTAATGGATGGTGGTGGGAGTTTTGATTTGTTTTTGATGTTTTGTATTTTCCCTTCTTTGCTTTTTCTTTCTAATAAAAAAAAAGTAAAAGTAACTAAGAAAGAAATTTCTGTTGTGTAAGACACCTAGTCCACGGGATGTTTGTTACAGCAGCTCAACAGGACTGAGACACAGGCCTGTGCAACCCCCGCATAGTAGCTGAATGTGTGACTGGATGAACGGAGGAGTAAACGTGCTGCCAAGAGCATGACAGCCAGAACCCCCTGCCCACCGCCAAGTCATCCCTAAACACTCTTTCCCATCACAAGGCTCAAAGTCCCCATTCTCTACCTGTACCCCCACCTCACCTGCCGAGGGCTCACAATGATGCTGGTGGATTTTGCCCCCACTTTGGGGGCCTGTTTGGGGGTCTCTTCTGCCAGGGGTTCTGGCCCCGTGGGTCGGGTGGCTACAGCCCCTCCAGGAGGCCCCGAGATGGCGTACTCAGCATAGCTCTGAGGGGCTGGCTGCGGCAAGCTGTCCGTGGTGGGAAGGCTGCGTGTGGATTTGAATAAGGGCTTGGCCTGTGGGGAGAGATAAGAGGGAGGGAAACATTCAAAATGTGAATCGAGCCCCTTCTCCCCACCTCCTGGATCCCTATCCTGGTACAGCCAGCCCCTCCCTCCCTCTCTCTCTGGCCACAGCCATCACCTTCCCAGTCTGTCCTTCACCCCAAGTGCCCTGAGTTGGCTCCTGCCTCAGAGTAAACAGAGCAGTCACCTTAGCAGGAGACTCTTGAAAAATCTGTCTCTGGCCCCTTGCCTCAGGGACCTCACCTCCCACTCACCCTCTACTCCACCCCTGCTTTCTCCATTCCCACTGGTCTTGCTCAAGCATGCAGGCACTCTCAGACCTCAGGGCCTTTGCCCTCTCCTCCCAGATGTCACCAGATCATCCTACACCTCATCCTACACATCCTACACCTATCCCTCTATTTGTGCCAAGATTTCACCTCCTCAGAGAGGTCCTCCCTTGACCCCACGAGCAAAGGTAAGGCTTCTCCCCACCACACCCAGTTGGTGGCAGCTGGTATAGACGTGTGATGCTTAATGACAAGAACAAGTCTGAGAACTGCATCTCTGGGTGATTTCATCATTGTGCCAACGTCACTGAGTGCAGTTATGCAAATGTAGATAGCACAGCCTGCCACACAGCTAGGCTACATGGGTCAGCCTGTTGGGACTCTGTCACATAATACGGTCTGCGGGTGACTGCAAGGTGGCAAGGGAAGCGTGACTACTCAGCAGCCGCCAACTGTATTCCTGTGGGACGAGACCTCGGTGCTGCCCGAGCCTCTCCAATTTACGGAAAAATGGCAAAAGTGCAGACTTCTTTTTAATTGCAAAATCTTCTAATTCTTAAATGTCAGCAACAAATTCTTTTCTTGCAAAGACCAAGGTTCTGCCACATCAACTACATCCCAGCCACTCACTGGCTGCCACTTCGCAGCCTTAGCCTTCTGAGAACCACCCTGACATTTTATAGACAAGGAACTCGGCCGCTGTTACCCCAAGGTGACCCTGGCCTAACATTTCCTAACCCACATTGTGGGCTCCCCATCTCGCAGCCCTACCCCGGGAGGAGGGGCCTCATCCTCGTCCAGGGGGATGATGAATTTCTTCCTTGTGGGTGGCCCTGCGGGCTGGGGAACTCCATCTCTATCCATGCCGAGGTTCTTCTGGGACCTGAAAATAAAATGTGGCGGCAGGGAATGAGTTCGGTGTCTGCATCCCCATTCCTCTCAAAGGAAACCCCTTTCTTACATCCACTCCCCCCTCCGCCCCCCAAAATGCCGTGCTTCCACAGCGTCCCTCGCAAACACCCAGCACACTTGGTTGCATAAAGCCCCGCCCCAGTCGCACCTGCACCTACGGCTCGCCCCGCCCTTTACCGGTCCTCAGGTTCCATCCCCCCAACTTCGGTTTGCCGGCCCAGCGGGGTCCCCAGTCCCCGAACCTCCGTCCACTCAGCCCCCAGGGCGCGCACCTGGAAGCCCACCCCCCCCCCGCGTCTCGCGCCAGCTCGAGACACTGCAACGTGATTGGCTTCCGCACCTGCCAATCGCCACACGGTCAACTGCCCCTCTCGCCCCGGCCCTGCGGTCTCCGCGCCGCGGCCAAGTAGCGGCCTCCTGGGCCCTCCGACGCCGGGACGACCGGTCGGGGAATCGAGGCGCCCACCGCCAGCGCGGCCAGCGCGGCCCCAGACCTGCCGCACTTCCGGCCTCTCTAGCTCTCCCGCCCTCACCGTTTCCCAGCAGGGTAGAGCATAGAGAGGGGCGGTCTCCGCGCAGCGCTCTATGGTCCTGGAGGACCGCCGAGGTTTGCGTTGGAGACAGCGGCGGGTCTAGCCACCTGCTTCTCTACCTGCTACCCGGGCCAGTGCCAAGGCCATTACTGAGCACGGTTTGCCAACCCTGACTCCGGGCAGGGCTCCGTGAAGAAGAGAGGCTCCACTAGGTCCCTTTTGTTTGGGGTCTGAATCCCAGTTGGGCCAGACTTAGCCTTGGTTTCCCCATGACTCATCCATGCCCTGTATAGACCCCAAGTGCCCCCTTGTTCCCGGGCCGGGGCCGGTCAACGGGAACCAGCGACAGCCCCGCGCTGCCCTCCTGGACCTCACAGCCCAAAGGGCCAGAGGGACCCCTTCTCACGCAGTGACGGCCCAGAACGGGCGATGCCCTCCGGGGTTTCTATCCGAGCACCGAGGGCAGGGGGCGGGGTGGGGCAGGATAGGGACAGGGCGACCTCACAGCCCGAGGGCTGGGAAGGGCTTCCTGGAGGAATGGACATCGCCGAGACCCGGGTGATGAGTTAGTATTAGTCATTTCCTGAAAGGATAGTATCACACTGTTCTAACTTGGAACTCCGATTACTAAAGAGAGAGAACATATTTTTGTGAGTTTATTGGTCTTATATATTTTGTCTTCTGTGAATTGCTTGCTCATATCCTTTGCTCATTTATTTTTAAATAGGGCTGTATGCCTTTTTGATTACTATTAATTTGTGGAAGTCCTTTATGAATTCCGATTCTAATTCTTGGCTATATATATTCCAAATATTTCCTCCTAGCTTGTATTTGTATTAGCTTTGTTTACGCTCTCTCTACGTGTAACAACCCACCTTCGTGTTCCAAATTTCCATATGTACACAGGTCAATTTCTGACATTTCTATTGTTTCCTGGGTCTCCACACGACTGTTTCTTGCCTCCCCACCATACTGCTTATTCTGATATATTTTGTTATCAGACAAATCTCCCCTGTTCTGTTTCAAAACATTCTTTTGTTTGTTTGTTTGTTTGTTTCAAAACATTCTTGTACATTTTCTCTTCTAGATGGATTTTAGCAACTGTTTTCCAGTTCCATGAAAAATCCTAGTGGGACTGAGACTGGAATTGCGTGGAGCTGATGAATTCATTACAAAAATATTGACATCTTTTTCATACCCATGTTGTCTCTCTCCATGGATTCTGGCTTTCTTTAGGGAACACTGTGGAAGATTTTTTTGGAATTAATCTTTATTTATACGATTGATTCATGAATACATTTCTGTATTATTCTCCTAGAGATGCTATAACAAAGGAACAGACGCTGAGAGGCTTAAACAACAGAAATGTATTGTCTCGCTGTTCTGGAAGCTGACAATTCAATCAAGGTGCTGGCAGGGCCGCATTGCTGTGAGGACAGCAGGGAAGGCGTTGTTCCAGGACCCGCTCCCAGCCGCTGGCACGCTCAGGCACTCTTGGCTAGTACAGTGCTTCCTCTGTGTCCAATTCCCCATTTCACAAGGACGTCTGTGTTCTGGATAAGGGCCGGCACTAAAGACCTCACATTAACCTGGCAATCTCTGTAAAGACTTTATTCCCCATCACCTTCTGAAGTACTGGGACTCATGACATCAGCCTATCTTTTTGGGGGGAACAAGATTCAAGCCATAATAATTTCTGCTTCTTTTTATAACCCTCCTTCTGAGTTCATTTTACGTCTCACTAGTGTGTACTGTCTTCTAATTCTGTCCAAGACCACTGAAGATTGAAATTTTGTGAGTCTTGCTCATTTTGAAAAGAGCTTTATGTCACCCTTTTAATTGGAATCTCAAATTCTGGGATCTTAGATATCTTTCTTGCAAAGTTCGACGAGATCGGTCTGGTCTCCCTGACTTCTGGTGGCTAATAAGAAGTCTACCGCCACCCCACCCACCTCCAATTCTCCTTCCTTCACAAGCATTCTCATAACTGGGCCTAATTTTTCCCAGCTCACTTCTAATCTGGGCAGTGGGCCTTGCCAGCAACTCAGCTTCCCTGTGTCCATCAGTTCACTTGTCTCAAATGGGTTTAATAACTGTATAATCTTTAGGGGAAGAAATGACCATATAAAGTGCCTAAATTGTATATGGCCCATGGTAGGTGCTATATATAAGCAAAACATCCCTTGATGGAGTCCTGAACTGAGTCTGGAAGACTCGACCTGTGGTGGCCACAGCTGTGTCAGAGGACCTAGCCACCAGAAGGGACTGAAGGACGGTGTGGTCTGTGAAGGAACAAAGACACAGACACCCAGCCCTACACTGGGAGCCTCAGCTTCCCCATCTGTAAGTGCCAAAGTTGTGAGGATTCAATCGGAACAGAAAGATCTGCCTTATGAGGGTGGGGGTTCACTCATTCATTCCTTCATTCCTTACAGACCGTGCCAGGCACTGTGAGCAAATCAGACCAGACAGCTGGGGAGCTGAAGGAGTTCTGGGGAGACAGACCATAAGGAAGAAACATATGACTTGACCCCTAGAGCAAGGGGTGACCTGGGATGCCCACAAGTTAAAAGGCTACACAGAGAAAGAAATTACAAGATTAAAAAGATGTCCTAGTGAATGGTAGGAAATATTCACATAGTACTAGCAGGAGTTGGTTGTCAAGATATATAAAAACTCACACAGTTCAACCATTGAAAAAACAAAAAACACAATAAATGGGCAGCAGATCTGAACAGACAATTCAGATTGGAGATCCAGAGACCAGTAGACATATCGCAAATGTTCATTATTTATTTTATTTAAAGGTTTATTTTATTTACTTATGCATACAAGAACTGGGGTACAGGCCAGAAGTGCAGGAGGTGAGAGGATTCACTAGAGACAGAGCGGGGAACAGAACAGGCGGATCCACTGAAATACACTGCCGAGGGGAGCAGCAGCAAGACAGGAGAGGTCTGCTGCGCCAAATGGGTCAGCTCCCTGGCCAGGGGATCGAACTCAGGCCATAGCGATGACAGCACTGAGACTTAACCCTTAGGCCACCAGAGAGGCCCCTCATCATTTATTTTAATAAGAGAGGTGGCAAGTTAAAACCACAAGCAGATACCATCACACACCCCTGAGGAGAACGGCACGTATTAAAAAGAACTCTAACAAGTGCTGGAGAAGGCGAGGAAACAAGAACCCATCACATGTTGGTGGGAATGTAAACTAGCTCAACCATCGTGGAAAGTCATCTGGATTTGCCTTTGCTCAAAATGGAAAGATTGTGCCCCTCACAATCCCACTCTTGGACATTATCTTTGACTAGATGGATGTGAAACCATCAATGCCAAAAAGAACTGCACCATATTCCCAGTAGCCTTGTTTATAATGGGGGGGAGGGTAGCCTCAATGCCTATCAGCAGATGATTGGGTCCACACCATGGGGTGCTATTCATAAGGAAAGAGCGATGCCGGCATTTTCCACAAAATGGAGTTTGAGAGAATGGTGTCCAGTCAAGCAAGTCAGAACAATTAAAAAAAAAAAATCTAGGGCCATCCTGGTGGCACATGGGTTAAGTCTCAGCGCTATCAACCTATCACCAGCCACTGCAGCATGAGTTCGATGCCTGGCCAGGGAGCTACCCACACGGCGCAGCAGACCTCTCCTGCTTCACCCGCTGCTCCCCTCAGCAGTGTATTTTGTCAGTCTGCCTGTTCTGTTCCCCGCTCTGTCTCTGGTGGATCCTATCACCCCCCCACACCACTGGCCTGCACCCCAGCTCTTGTATGCATACATAAATAAAATAAAAATTTTAATAATAATAAATATTACCATTAACTGGAGAACTATCAAAATAGACTGGGGACTTACTAGGAGCTAAGATCTCACAATAACCCTCCCCTTGGGTCCCAAGAGTTCATATGGCAGATGAGGGTACAGAGATCACAGCCAAAGACGCAAATGGAAAAGAGTCTCTGACCGCAAGCGAGGAGCTTTTCGAGGCGGCCAACCTAGGCGGACTCAGTTTCTCCACAGGGAACGAAATTGCCATCGAGCCTGCGACACAGGCCCTTTCCGCCAGGGGGCGGTGGCGCACCACGAGAGGATCGGGGCGCCCAGGGCTGCTCAGTCTGAAGTTCCCGGCGCCACACGCCGGGGCGGCCCCGCCCCCTTCGCGCACCCCAACCCGGCTCTGCAAAGGCCCCGCCGCCCGCGGGGAGGGTAGCGCTGAGGCTGGGACGCGGGGCGAGGAGGTGCCCTCGCGTCTCCACTTCCCAAGTTGAATGTCTAACTCGGTTCCAAACTGGCACTTCGAGGCTCCGGATTCAAACTTCGACTCCCAGAGTGGCGAGTTCGAATCCCCGGGTCTCCGCACTCCGGCCCGCGTCCAGCTCGCAAGCCCCGGCCGCGACTCCCCGGGGCCCCGGCCCCGCCCCGCGCTGCCGCCCT